TAGCCTTGATGAATAAATGGCTTCTATTTATGCAGATGGTACATCCCGGTGAGATAATACTTCATAAACTTCAAAGGGAAAGCAAGTAGAGTCGATGATAAGTCATTTGGGCAAGGCAATTGCTACTCTATGTATGAGATCACGGTTGCTTTTGGTAGTACAATAGAAGGAAGAGAGTTTTAAATAATCAATAGTTGATTATTCAACTGAAGAGGGCCGAGGGACTTAAATCCTCTTATTATTTTAGATTAGTTAAATATCTTGTTGAACACCCTGATATGGCAACAATATTCATTGACATGGAGTTGGAGTCCCGCACTGATTGGTTGTCTTTTTTTCCCTTATTGCCTATGATCGATCTATAATTTACTTAAATACTTATATGATAGGTCATATGGATTTGTGGAAGTTATACTGATTGTCGTATTTAATACCTCCCTTGTTTTATAATAATATGGTATGATACATACTAGTGATCATGACCGTTTTTTTCTTGTGTTTTATTGTTATGTCTTGTTAAAGCTATGAATTTTGTGAATGTCATGGAATATAATGGATTGTATGAATGTTGTCAAATGCGATTGAAAACTATACACTAAAATGGTCATAAATGTTATGAATGGTAGGGAATGCGATGGTTATGACTGTTATTAATATTTGATGGCTTTGTAGCGTAGGCTATGGTCAAGAATATTATGGAATAATTATATTTTATTGAGTAATGGTTTTTATTAGAGTACTACTACACATTGAGTATATATCCTTAATGTACTCAATATTTTTTGACACTCATTACCATTGCGCCACAACGGAGTAATGTTTTTGTCTAGTGGTATTTCAAGTAATTACTTAAGAGTAAAGTATAAATTCTTGATAAAAAGAAAAATATTTATCAACTATAAAAATAATGGCATCATCAACATCAAGTGTGACATCATCCACAAGCAACATTTATTGTTTTGAAACTACTAATAGAATGTCACCAATTTTTTATATAATATCTATTCTACCTTTCTTAATGACAAAAATTGCCTTTGCTCAATAAATTATGTATTACAAAACAAGGGCTAATGTGTATCTAAAAATGTTAAACTACATTAAGGAAATACCCCTTGCGTAGGAGTACCGTAATATAATCTAAATAAGTGTGTTTTATTGAATACTTATTTTAATAAAAATCAAATTTTTAGATAATCATGATTTATTAAATAATCATGTTTAATAAATATTTATTTATTGTAAAATATCATCGAATATCCAATAATTATTGTGTTATTAAATAATAATGTTTTCTTAAATCGATACATCTTCCAAATTTCATATTTTTTTAAAAATCATGATTAATTAAATAGACTTGATTTAATTAATATTTGTGTTTTCTTAATAAGTCATGTATTATTAAATATTTGTGTTTTTTTTTAATAGTAGATTTCTACTTGTCGAGACTGTGGACGTAGCTCTATAAGGTGAACTATATAAATCATAATTTTAGTTTTGGCTTTATTTTTTGTACTTGATTTATAGTTATATTCATCTATTTCATATTTAACCACTTGTGATAGGATCCTGATATTTAAAATACCCAAATCAACAAGCGAGGGTTTCTTGATGACACTGCAGTTATTACATTGTCATCTTTATCACCCTAATGTTGGCCTTTTATTTTTTGAACTTTTATTGAATTACACTTTCCAGCTGTGTAGGCCTATCTAATTATCGATCCAAGACGTTCGATCGGTGATTCAACCCACCGATCTAAATTGTCGATCCAACACATCAATGGGGACATCAGTGGTGATCCACCCCCACTGAAGTGTTACTTTTTAAGACCGTTCTTAGAAATTTAGGTAATCTCCCTTTTCTTTTTCTTTTAAACCTAGATTCTCACCGTCTCATATCCACACTGCAGAGTGGAAGATATTTCCCATTTGGAATGATCATATGTGGATTGCGAGCGACAATGGTAGCCACAATAAGGATGAGTATGGATCGGTAAAAGGAATGGTTGGCCTTTCACATTGCCCATGGCCCTCATCATAACACCCCCACACCTCCGCCTAATCAGCAATCACAACACTCCACCCAATCCCCTCTTAACCGTGGCGCTCGCAAGCTCGCTTCATCGCTCATTTCAAGTTATCAACGGGCTTTGCTGACGGTGGGTCCGAAAAGATGGCTGGGCTGAGGGTGGACCCGCCTATCTTTTTTCAGATTCGCTACGGAGTTTTTTTTTGTTTGGTTGGAAGAAAGAAGCAATTTCGAAAAAAAAATTTTGGTTTTTTTTTAAAATTTTTTATAAATAAATGAGATATTTATATATAAAATATAAATAAATAAGATAATTCTTTTTAAAAAATAAAAAAACAAAAGCAACTTGAATCTCACTAAAACAACTTGAAACGGCCTGAATCTGACTTAAATGACAACATTAGCTTTTGTTTTGTTTTGGTTTATGCTTAAAATCTGAAAGTTTCATTCTCTTCGATCGAATCGACACGTATTTGAGAATATTGTTAGTTCAGTTAGAATCGGGTTAAACTAAATAAAAAATAAATATAAAAAAATAAGAATAAAAGAAAGTCGGGTTGGCACTAACCCTAGTTCAGCCTTCGCATCACATTTCGTAACCTAGGGTCTACATCTCAGCCTTCGGGCCACAGTCCGTAACGCAGGTTCCACATCTCTAGGTGCGGGCACGTCGCGGCCCAGTCGATTTCCAGCCTTAGCCAGACCCGAAAATTCGAAATGATATCGGTGGCCCAGCCGTTTCAACAACCCGGCTCCTATGGAGGTAGGGAGCTCCAAGCCTAAAACCATGGCCCCACTTGAAAAAAGAACTCATAAATTACATGAAATCGCGAAAAAGGCGGATTACCACGTGTCAGATCTCTAGGGCAACCTTGTACCATGTGTCGTCATATCAGCGTCGGCCCGTACTACATCATACGTGTCGAAGGGCCAATCATCCGTGACACGTGGGGCCCAACTGCCTAACCTGCCCGTCGCATCACGTGGCGCTGCTTCCCACCCAGCTCCGCAAGTGTTGCGGGCCAGCTTGCAGGGACACGTGGTGATCATTCATTGGTTGACGTGTCCCACGGATGGGCCCACGTGGACCATCAGTCTTCGCGTACCCGCACCATCCGACGACGCAGAATATCCACGTCTCCGCTGAGGATTGACACGTTTCGACGTAGCCACGTGTCAGGCGGCTGAGATTCTTGTTTTCGACAGGAATTGAAGAGGTAAATAATCGGAAAATGTTGGAAAAAAAAAAATGCGGCACTGCTCCAGGACTGACGAGTATATGCGTGAAGAACCTTTTGAGGTTGACGATTTTTGCCCTGTATATTATAAATATGACGAAATCATCCGTACCATAGGAATCCCGTGAGGTCACAGCTCATCGCCCTAATAAATGTTTCGTGCTCCAATGTCCCCCCGCATTTTCCACAATTCCTTTCACTTTTTATGGGCATCAAGAATCCTTGATCCAGATTAGAAATCTACAGCGATTACACTTTTTGTTGGCGTCGAATTGTTTCCTGAAAAACAATTTCATATGGAAAAATTGTCTGTGGTAAAATATGAAAATATTTTTATATAAATTAGTTGCTAATTAGTGTGACAAGATACACTATGACCAATTGATAAAAAGAACATTCCCACATTTTACCGCACAAGATAAATATTTCGTATAAAATTGTTTTTAGAAAACAATTTCACTCCACCCAACATATGCTTAAGATCCCCAATTTGTTTACAGCATTTCTGATTTTTTTAAGTTTAGGTATGAGCTCCCCTTAGACCCCCAATTTTTTATTTTTTAATTATCAAATATTTTTTTGATCTCCAATTGAGACTTATTCTAATAAAAAACCCAACAATCCATCATGAATGGATATAGGTTGTATTCCACCTCGCCAATCCAAATTTTGAAACACTTCTTTCAATCTTGGTGTCCGCATTTTGCTAACCAATGTTATGATCGGATTTGCTATCAAATTGAAGAGTTTGCTTTATTCGAAATTGGTCCAACCATGAATAGGTATCTAGAAATAGGACTAGGATTGTGGTGGTAGTTCCACCAAGAGTGTCAACTAAATGTCACATATTCCATTCTCGCAAACACTTTAAAAAAGAGGCCCCAATAATGTACCTAAAAAAAACTAATTAGGCCCGATTTACAGAAACAGAAAAAAATATATATTATAATGTACGAACATAAAAGACAAAAACATTATTGACCTTTATTTAGTTAATCAAACCAATTAAAACTGATTACCCTAACTTATCAAAACCAATAAAATATCTGATTTTACCAGTTTTAAGCAAACCTCAACTGGATTTTTACCTTCACTGGATGGTTTTGATAATTATTTCCCCGACAATTCCGCTGTGGAAGTGGGATTAAAGAGAAAGTTCAAGGGCATAAAGGTCACTAGTCAGCCTTATCAAAAATCGGAATTTGTCGAGTATTTTCCTTTTCGTCTCATCTTTTATCTTCCTCATGCGTTGGAAAACAGCTTCTTTCCTTGCACGGTATTCAAAGGCCCGCGGTTTGACGCGTGTCACGAGGCTTAACAAGAACGGCCCCACAACCACCAATCAAGGGCCTAGAAATTCGACACGTATTACCTCAACAGTGACGGACGTCTACCGACCCTCAGATATTCCGCGAGCCTCCTCCCTCGACGTTGACACATAGGACCCACGCGTGTCACAATCTGACCCGTTAATTGAGCCCCATTGCCTGACACCTGGAACGTGGAGAATAAGGACTCAAGAAATCAATTCAACAGCAGTCAAGATCGTGCCACGTGTACCGTGTAGATAGACTGAGAAGGATGCCTGAGAAACGCAGGGGGGTGTCCTGACAGTATGGTAAAGTCCGTGTTGATATTTCATTGGTCCACGTGGTGGCTAGGAGATGAGGGTGATACGTGTTGGAATCGGAGGAGCGGGTAGAAAGATGGACGGAAGGATTCGTTTGGAAGTTTGGGCGGACCGAACGGGCAGCTCGGGCAGCTGCCCAGATGGGCCAGGTGCCCTCTGAGGGAGAAGCTTCATTCGCTGCAGAGGCTTTTGAAAGACCCCTCGTTATTTGTGGTCGTAGAAAGCGGGTTTTTTTTTTTCTTGTTTTTTCTTTTGAAATTCCTTCTCATAAGTTATTAAAGGTGAGAGAATTCCAGGTCTTTCGGGTACTTCCTCATTCGAATTTTAGCACTTTCCTGCTCTGGTTTTTGGGTTTTTTTTGTTATCATTTCTACGGTTTCCTGGTTTTAATTTCTGTTTTGATTTTCTGGTTCTTGGTTTTGGGGTACTTTTGGTTGTGGATCCCTGGTGTTTGAGATTTTAGGGGTTTTTTTAAGGGGTTTCTGGGCCCAATTGGTTTGAATTTTGGATTCCTACCTTTTGGCGTCCAAGCCTTTGAAGAGGAGTTCGAGCTGAAACTTGTTCTCTATCCAATTGGTTAGAGGTATTCTCTGAAAGTTAGGGTTTCTCCATTCGGATGCATCGGGAGATTCTTTAAAAAGAAAAAAGAAATACAGGGTTTTTCTTACTGGGTTCTCTGAGAGGATCTTACAGTAACGGCTTGTTTATCGGGAGATTATTTAAGAAATCAGGGGGTTCTTTGTTCAGGGTTTTATTGAAGTCGGGTGTTGAGGAATTCCTATTAGCCTTCGTGCTATGTTCTAGGGTTTTATCTCAGGGAGGTTCTGTCAGAGCTTGAAACCTTCTTTTCATGGCTGAGATTTGTTATGGTGTTGTCAGTGATGGAGAGGCCTCACCACCCTGCGAGCCCAGCTCGAGAGCTGCCCGTCGAAGGAGGATGGAGATCCGGCGGTTCAAAATCGTTGCAGGGGTTGCCACCTCGCCGGAGAACTCGAGAAAGCGGCAGAGAACTGAAGCCTCTCTCTCACCTCGTGAGTGTAGCAACGCAATTGAGACCTGCGACGAGAGCTCCGGTCAAATTCAGTCCGGCAGGAAACTTCTGGCCAGACGGACCTCAGATTCCTATGAGTCGCAAATGACTGAAATACCTCTGGCAGTGGCTCCAGATGATAGGGTTTCTGAGTGGAGGCCAGTGTTTGGGATGCTCTCAGTTTGTGGGAGGAGGCGAGATATGGAGGATGCCGTTTCAGTGCTGCCCTCATTTTTCCGGTTTGGACGTCAGATTCGGGCGCCTGAGTTTCATTTCTTTGGCGTTTATGATGGCCATGGATGTTCTCATGTAAGTGAAACAAAACCTTCGTCTTTCCCAATGAATAAATAAATAAATTATGGACTAAATTAATCTTTAATAACGAGATTAATTGTGTATTTTAAGTTGTTTTTGTAGAGAAGTAGTTATAGGACTCGGGTTTTGTAATTCTTTGCTCGAGCTTTCTCTCTGTTCTTTTTATTTGTGAACAAAAAACCCATATATTAGAAATTAAAGTTTTAGTAAATGGTGCGTTAGGCGAGAAATGAGGGGCATGTTCCTTTGCCTTATGATTCCGAGTTTTCTTTTTTATTTTTCTTTTTAGGGATTTAGAAGCTAGGGACCTAAGTCCTATGGAATTAAAAAGACTGTTGTGAAGTGATTTTTGCCTTTTTATTTTATATAATTATCTTTTTACGTTTGTTTCGCGTGAAAGTATTTCCTGATAAATATTTTCGTGTGAAATGATTCTCTCATGTTGTTAGCTGTGGAAATATTTTTATAGGCCCGGGTCCATCTTTTCATACCCACTAGCAGCTGATTGGTGTGGAAATATTTTTACAGGTCCAGGTGCATCTTTTCACATCCACTAGTTAATTGGTGTGAAAAGCTTTCCGCACCTAACCACAATAACCACAATGAGGGGATTTCACCTGACCACAATAACCACGATGAGGGGATTTTTTTTATGGGTGTGGTTTCTACAAGGTTTCAACCTTACACAATCCAATTAAGGTGCACCTCCAAATTTTCCAAATTTTATCATAACATGTAATCTCGGTGTAAAATGTTATTAGGATTATCTTATAATCTATTTTTATATCTAATTATAAAATTTTAGACTCCAGAAATGGTTAAAACCAAGTAGATTTATAAACGTACGTAAATCTGGAAAATGGATGGTCAAGATAATGTAGTTGCAATATGCATCATCTTTGGCACTCAAAATCTTATTTTTTCCATATTTATACATCTCAACGTTTGAGATGATCAATTAGGAGGTTTTCCAACGTTAAAACAACTTTTTCTGGTAGATTTTTTAGGTGCATCTTGTCTTCTACAATTTAAGGTTCCAACCTTGTATAAACTTTTTCCTTTTTTTATATGACAAATTTATGCTTTCACCCGGATCAAACATGTAATTATTGAGGCCTATAATGATAGGTTTTATGTGAATGGCGGGATAATACATCCTTTGAATTTTTTCCCTTTTGTTAAAAATTTTTTTTAAAGAAGTTTTATAGTTGAAATTAAATCAAAATGGAAATATGTTAAAGGCTCCAGTTTTACTTGTCCCCCGACTCATCCTACTTTCGTGCAGGCTCCCTTGAACACCCATTATCTGTATCTATCTTGGATCCAAATTTGTAGTGATCCATGATCTACACTATGATGATCATGAATATAATAAATAAAATATATGACAAAACACTCTTGCGCATGTTAAATGTTAAATAATAAATAGGGCAATTCTTAAAAGAGGTATTTTTGGTGAGTTCCCCAAAACAGAAGCATGCCCCAAAATCATGGGACTTCTCTGTCATGCAATATCTACCCAAAAACACCTGAGGATTGTGATTTCTCCTAAAACCAAAACCCAAACCCAGAAAGCCTGAAAAATTGTTCTTTGTAGTAGTGTGTGTAATTTCGTTAATTTTTTGCTCCCTCTGTTTCATAGATTTGCCTTTGGTTTGGGGTTGGGTTTTTAGGTGGCAGCCTCTTGCAAGGAGAGGTTACATCAGTTGGTTGCAGAGGAGCTGGAATCAATCATTGAATGTGGCATATTTGAGCCGGAATGGAAAGAGGTGATGGAGAAGAGCTTCAAGAGGATGGACATGGAAGCAACAGGCGGTGTCCAAACTGGTACTTCCACTACCAATTGTAGGTGTGAGCTGCAAACACCTCACTGTGATGCAGTGGGCTCAACAGCTGTGGTTGCAGTGGTGGCACCCTCGCATATCGTGGTTGCAAATTGTGGCGATTCGCGGGCTGTGCTATGTCGGGGTGGGGAACCAGTGGCCCTCTCGAGTGATCACAAAGTGAGACAGAGTGGATTTTTTTAATTTGAAATTTGATCTGTTTTGGGGCCGCATTGAAGAAAATTTGAAAAATTGGGTTTTTTTTTTTTGGCCCCATGTTGGATAGTCGCTAGAATTGAATGAGCAAGCCTTCCCACTGAGCCTTGTGGACCAGTCGTGCTTGTTCACGGATTTGTTTTCCTTAAGGAAGTTGCAACTTTTTGTTTTGTGGGTTTGATCTTTTGCTTTCAATTTGGTTTGGAGTTTACAAAATTATTTCAACTTGTTTCTGCTAGAATTTTTTTTCTCTTGAAATTGATTTTCGTTTGGTGGGTATGGATGATGTATTACCAGCCTGATAGACCGGATGAGCTGCTTCGGATCCAAGCGTCAGGGGGCCGAGTGATATATTGGGATGGGCCTAGGGTCCTAGGCGTTCTTGCGATGTCTAGGGCTATTGGTAAGTCAAGGCAACTCGGCCCCTCTCCATTGCAAAATCTTTTTTTCCTTTAAAAGTAGGGATACAGCAAAGACTTTCCAAGATTGTAATTCCTTTGTTATAGTTCTTGAAATCTGGATGGCAGTCCAAAACCAGAGACTTGGGAGTATGATTCCCCGTTTAGGATTTGTTTGTCGTTGAAGATTGACTCTACATTTGGTTCATTTGGAAAAGAAATACAATTTTCTGGTGTTTAAATTATGAATTAGGTGTATAGAAATCTTTCATTTTCCTTGGCCCCTTTTCTCGCTTTAGTTTTTCAACTGTTTTTCTAATGTTCTTTTTGTGTCTATGCTGCAACATTAGGGGATAATTACTTGAAGCCCTATGTATCATCGGAGCCTGAGGTCACAGTGACTGAGCGAGCAGCTGAAGATGAATGCCTCATACTTGCGAGCGATGGTCTGTGGGATGTTGTCTCAAATGAAGTTGCCTGCGAGATTGCAAGACGGTGTCTGCAGCGTGCTCCTGAGAATGGTGCAAGCTCCTCTGGCGTCAATGGGTCAGATCCCGCATGCTCTGTGGCGGCAGCTTTGCTGACAAAGTTGGCTTTGGCAAGGCAAAGCACTGATAACGTGAGCGTAGTTGTTATAGACCTTAAGAGTGCACATTCACACGGTAGAGCCAAATTGGGGGGAGTTCAATTTGGGGTTAAGCGTTAGTTTGATTGGGATAGTAAGAAAATTGGTCCCTCGGAATAGGTTTTACAGATTAAAAGGAAGGACAAGATAGTAGAGTGGCTCCTTTCCTTGACAGGGAGATTACAGTGGGTTGTTACTCTTTCATATTTCTTGATCCAGAGAAATGGAGGAGTGTAAAAAGAATAGAGGAGGTGATGATTTTTCGAGTGTATTTCATGGTCTTCCATTGTTACTGGGGGAGAAGGTTTGATTAGAGGGGGAACGTCTCGTTCTTGTCATTTGCTTGTGGGTGGGACAACAAAGAATTATAGGGGGAGGGCGTGGCTTAAGAAAAGTCAGCCTGATTTATGTTCTTGCTATATAGGAAAGGAAATATTATGGTTAGTTGCATTTGATTTCATGCCTAATGAAAAGAAGTTTGCATTTGCTTCCCAAAGAGTATATGCTACCAAGGGGAAAGAATTTTTTATTTGCTTCCCAGTGAAACTATGAGAAGGTGATCCATGGATGCTCACTTGAGTTGCTTTCTCTGATTCCACTTAATGGTCATGTTTATGTATATGTTTCAGGTTTGTGATGTATATAGGGGTAGCAATAAGGCCCCGGTCCGGTCCTTAAAAAACTAGGGCTTGAATTAGGGCTTGAAATGTGGCCCGAGAACTTGAAATGTAGCCGGAGAACCAGGCTAGAGCAAGGCAATTATGACCGAGATGGGTTGAGGGTGGTGCTGGGCCTCAGCCATGGACTGGGGCAGGCCTGTTGCTAGCCTTGGTTTTAAACTTCTAAACCCCGTAGCTCTCATGTAATTGTAGGGTATCCCGTTACTTGGGGGCCCATCTTTGTTGTGCCCTTAAAAAACTGAGTACAGCTTGGGCGAGGTAGTAGCGAGGAGGTCAAAACGTTAGAAAGTGGTGGTGCGTTCATGGCCTTTAGAGCCTCTTTTTACGGTTTAGTAAAGTATATACAAGAAAGAACTATCTATGCAATTTAGTTCCGCCTTAATTTTTTTTCACATTTTTTTTTTTTTCGAACAACCTTTCTTCGTATAAACCTCTTCAAGGTAAACAACCTCTCAAGGTTATAAGTTAGGAGGTGGAAATGCTCATCATACAAATCAAATCAATTCGCGATGGCTTGGAGTGGAATGTCAAAAAGCACTGTTGGAGCGTGGTGCTACATTGTTGGAACGAATTGTCGGAATATGTATTGTCAATGTGGGAGTGCATTTTCAGATTGTTGGAGCGGACTGTCGAAGTGTGCAGTATCAGTGCAGTTCTCATTATGTCGGAGTGCTGTGGGTCAGACAAAGCACCGTCGGAGTGCACATTATGACTGTAGGAGTGGGTTAGAGTGCATTCTTCCAATGTCGGAGCTGCTTTGTGAAAAGAAATATGAGAGAGGAGAGAGAAGGTTGTGTGAAGGAACTGACGGTATTTGAGTTTTATTTTTGGGTTGGGAGTTTTGTGAAAAGGTTTTCTTTGAGAAAAAAGTGAGAAAATTGGGGTTTTATTTTATGTTATTTTTGGGTTGGGGGTTTTTGCGAATAAAGGTTTTTTTTTGATAAAATAGTGGGAGAAAAAATTGGGGTATAAATAAATTATGTGTGTATTCTGAATATCTCTTTTCTATTTTTTAGCCTCTGGGTGGAGCCAAGACTGATACATCACTAAAGCTTGCACGCCAGCTAGCTGCACGATTGAGATCCTCTTTTACGATATTCTTATCGGGTGTTGCAAACTTATATAATAAAATTTATTTTTATTTTTATTGTAAAAGTTAAATTTTAAAAATAGTTTAAATCAAGTATAGATTTCGAAACATATGAAAAACTTGTAAATGGGTAGTTCGTGTGCTTCGTTTTTTTTTTTAAATATATACCCATACATTTTGATGATGATGAGAACATCGATCAAAATGTTTTTAATGGATGTTTGAGGTGTATCTTAATTTTTGAGGTTGTGATTTTATTTAAATTTTTTTTTATTTTTATATGGATATGAAAAAAATTTTATGTAAAGTTGACATTTTAAATTGGAGAAGGTTGACGTTTAAAATTGTAGTCTTAAATGTTTCTCGAAAATCCTTTAAAAAAAGGTGGTCTTGATATTGGAAAATCATGTAATTATCATCTTGAAACAGAGATGAATGAATATGGATTTTAGAAAAGAAGTATTTCAAACGAACAAGGCTAGCACGCTGCCAAGCTTGCTCGGCAATAAATATATTTTTAAAAAATAATTTGTTCGTAATTTGTAAAGAGTGTATAATCTTAAACATTGAAATTATGAATATAAATAAATTTTGAATATTAAAAATAATAATTATATAAAAAAATCATTAGGATCATTAGTTACAATTGATTTTAGATGGGCCATTTGTATCCATCTTAAAGATGTACCTCTGGACCGTATAGCGTACAAATGCAGGGCACATGAAACAATTGTTTTATTTCAAATTTCAAAGTAATATATCTTGCAATTGGACGATCCATTTCCAAAATTTTCACGCGATCATAGATTTGTTTGATTTGAACAAGGTTAAAATTATATAATTTAAGGTAAAAATTTATTCTTGGACAATTTTTTATGCGAAAAGTACTTATTACATGGTTTGGAGGTGCATAATGTAGATTATAATGTTCTATATCGTCCATGTTAGTTTGAAGTGGTTTAAAAAATAGATCGGTGATTCGGATTGGACACTCCAAAAACTTTATCTGGATCGGTGAATCGGTGATCCGGATCGGAAATCGATCAATTCGATCATAATAAGATTTAAAAAAATCTAAAAAAATTATTAAAATTCATTATAAATGTTGTCTTTTAGTAATCCAATAAGAAATCAGGGTATTATATTGTTAATTTTCATTTTTTTCATCAATTTGTAAATATTGAGATGTTTTTTTTCTGTATAAATTTATGTTAACTATTAATTTTACATTATACAAAAGAAAAATTATTGATTTATAATGGACAAAGTATATAATCATACATGGATTATAATAAAGAGTAGATTAAATCGATATCAAAATGGCCACGAAAATCTTGAATTGGCGGAAAATCTTAATCCGTTAAAAAAGTTTAAATTATTACCACTTAACTAATTATAATATTATATACTGAAATTAAAATGGTTGGTTTACATTTTGTAATACAAATAATAGCAAATCCAAAATATTTTATAATATCATCAAATTTAAAATATATTATTGACAACAGTAAGAAAAATAATACATTAAATGATTTATAATGTAAAAATTAATAAATCAGATAAAAGATTTGGTTATCAATATAGAAATTATTAGAATGCGTACCAATTTTTGAAATAACATTTTAATTTGTTAAAATTTTAAATTTTTAGATTTTTAGAATAAATTTAGTAAAAGAGATCGTTAGTAAAAAGAGAGAAGTTTCAAATGGAATAAACCAGTGGTTTAAAGAACAGATCGATGTTTTAGGGTGTATTATTACAACTTAACTGACTATAATATTGCATCATTTTACTCTTAGGGTGTATTAAGAAATACTTGTTGTATTTATAAATATCTTTTATTTTTTTTAACAATAAATATTTGTCGTATTATCTTTTTTTTTTTTGCTAAGAAAAATATGATACTTGTATTACTTTTTATTTTATTTTTTGACAAAAAAATTAAGAAGATGTAGTACTAATTTTTTTTTTGTATTATCTTTTGTTTTATTTTTGACAAGAAATACGTTATATTACTTCTTCTTTTTTGACAAGAAAAATAAAAACTAATTTTTTTTTTTTTACCAAAAATACTTGTTATATTACTTTCTATTTTTTATTTTTTTTACATTAGATTTTTTTTTCTTCTATTTTTTATTTTTTCCTTTTATTCTTTTTACAACAAGATTTTTTATTTTATTTTATTACTTTTACATTTTTAAAAAATAAAAATAAAGCCCCAAAGGGGATTGCGCATGGGAGGAATCAAGCTGGAAAGCGCAGGCCAAAATCCGCAAAGCTAGCTTCCTCCACACATTCATCACATTTTATGCAACTCTAAGTTTGTCCCACATTGCAGGACGAGCACTAAAATTTTTTATAAATAAGAACACAATATTTATAGATGATGCGTCACGTGTTAATGAGTCTTGGCACACGCGTGGCGTGGCTGCCATCTTCTAACTAAATACCCAGCGAGTCTACGAGAATCGGTGATATTTTGCCGATTTACATCAAGGTTGTCCTCTCTAGACTCGCCCCGTTCCCGCCGATTACTCATCCGCTTCAAAACCTACTCAACAAAAGTGCCCTCAATAGTGACTTAAGATACATCCATAGGTATAGAGGTAAGGTGTGTATCTTCAAATTTTATGATGGTATATAATTTTGATGTCAAAAGTTCTTAGGATTATCTCAAAATTTATTTTTAAATCTAATTATAAACTTTTAAATTTAAAAAATGGTTAAAATCAAGTAGATCTATAAACATATGAAAATCTTGAAAATGGATGGTATAGATAATATGTTGTAAAATGCACTACTTTTTTCTATTTAAAATATTTTTATTTTTTATGGTCGTACATCTCGATGTCGAGATGATCAATCAAAGGGTTTTTTAGCATTAAAACTACCTTTTTCAATGGATTTTTGAGGTTCTTCATTATAAGGTTGCATCCTTCTATAAACTTTTCTCCTCTCTTGATGCATGCTGGAATGTTACATTGAGAATTGAGCACTAGTCTAGAATCTGAGTCCACCGAACTTCGACTTCTGTGGCACTTTTTGCTCTGTTTTACATCATTTGATGGCATTGAAAGCATTGCTCGCAAAATCACCTAATGTAACCGCTAATCGTTCAGATAAATCGGAACCGACCGGTTTCGGTGTTGGGCGGTTAGGGTGATCAACTGGTATTTAAAATAATAATAAATAAATAAATAAAATATATATAAATATTCAAAAATAAAGAATTTGAATTGTAATATATTTTTAAATATTCTTTACATTATGGTAAAGATTAAAAATTGTTTTGGTCATTAATACTCACTTTTATATTTTTCCATCTTTTTGAGAAACTAAAAATTGCCATTGGAAAATATAAAATGGGTTAAAATCTTTTTTTTTCATTAATTTTCAACTTCATTTGAATGTGTTTTGTTTTAATCATTCATTATATGCGTTTCATATTTTAGTAGATTTTTTTTTTGATATTATTTTATTTTTTTCAACACTTTTTTGACCGCACGGGACTTGTCCGGTTAGAGCGGTTGAATCGACTGGTTTACCGGTTAAGCCGGTTAAACCGCTTCCAAACCCATATTCGATTAACTGTTTCGGTTCGATTTTGCAAACACTAATTTAGAATCTCCTTCAATGATAATATGCTTAGTAACACCTTTATCTCTACAAAGTAATAATCATTAACATAAATAGCGTAGTTCAAATATGGTTTGCAATGGTAGATCCACACGGGCCATGATAATTGAAGATAATCCTAACATGTGGACGCCTTAAAACTCCACCACAACCAACTGGTCCAGAATTACCCGGGAACT